GTTTCGCTCAATCGGGATGTTACTATATTAGCTGCTTACCGACAGCAGCCTATCTATCTAGATGATCTTATGGAAACAATACTGACTAGAATCGAAAAAGAGATGGAAGAAATGAATTATGTACCTTACCCAGAGTAATGTGTAGCTGTGGATTCGATTAGGCGGATACATGACCATTGACGAAACCCACCCGATTTGCTCATATTGCGTCTCGTGTTTTCCTTGTATACGTACGGTGTATGATATGTATTCATCGGCACGCTATCTGTAAGCACCGAAGAGCGAGAGAGAATCCGGTCAGCGGTGATAATCCAATAGTCGCTATACGGGACGGACGGAATGATTCTGCTTTTGGACGGCAAGCGGCGACGACCAAGGTTGGCCACATTATTGTATTTGCAAGCTCTCATAGTCACAGTATACTTGCTATGTTGCTGCATTATTACTACCTACCACTAGAATTCCTGGGGGGGATCGTGTGATCGAGCTACTATCCCATCCCGGTAGCCACGTTGATTGACTTTGACTTGTCTTTTAGCAGGCCAGCGCGAACTGGAAGCTAGGCAAATCCCGCACTGAGACAACAAGTGAGGTTGTCAGCGGCTCTGCGCTTCTTTTTTGACATAGATTTCATGTATACGCCATTTAGCCTCTTAGCTCCAACGTTGATCAAGCCCAGCTCAGCCAGGGAACCTTGATGCCTGGGGGCTGTTGACGGTTCATTGCTCCCCTCTTTTGATCCCGTTGTTTTTCATCCAAGCCATGGCCCAACCTACTTTGTCCTCAAAGTCCCAAAGTCTATGCAAAATGATATCTTGATGTTATCGCATGACAGGTCGTTTCAAACTATCATACAGCCCAGGGAATAAGGGGAAAAAAAGTAGAAGAAAATAAAGAGGTTAGAATTCAATTCCCCAATCGGGCAGACTGAGAGGGGGAAGCGCGAATTGGCTTCGCTGCACCCCGGCCGCTTGCGGGGTGATATTCAAAGTGCACGCAGCACACACAGACACACACGCATACGCATATCCCGTACATTTATTCTGCGGAATACAGAATCATACATTCAGCTCACACAAAATTGACATTTTCTATTTTCTGTTCCGCGCCAGCCCAGTTATCTCCCTCTACCTGACTATTGCCAGTGATCATCATTTTGACCTGCACTGCCCGGCGAGAGCTATCGCTTTTCATGAGAGTTGCGCTTGTCTGCCTGGACCTACATTTGGATGTCTGGCTTGGCTCACTAAAACTAGGTAATAAGCACCGTATGGAATACATTATTTACTAGCTACGTCGAACTGACTTTACACTGGCTGGGCGACCAGAGATAATGTGCGTAGTTGACACGGTACATGGAAAGATTTGATAGTGGTAAAGATAGCTGACAATGGTTCGACGGTCCAGAGAGTCCAGACTGCTGGGATTACCTTACCTGACTTAGTCGTACACCCCACATTTAGTATTCGTGCCAGGTGTACATTTCGGGCATACTCGGTGGATCTGGGTGGGTTGGTTCTCTGCGAAACGATTGATTGATTGATTAATGGATGTTCCCGTTGGACAGGTTGCGTAGGTGTGATGATGAGCGAGTGAGAGCGAAACGACCGATGACGAGAATGGCGTACGCAACCTGAATGATCATGGCGGCGCAAAAGGCGGTTTCAAGTCATCAGAGTGGCTCATCTAGTGCTGCAAGTCAAGCAGAGCGCGAGCGCGCGCGTGAGAGAGAGAAAAGAGCATTGCATGAAGAGACACGAAGAGAGGATTGGAATGCCACCCTCCATGACGAATAACGAATTTTCTTTCTTTTCTTCTGTCTCTTTGCGCCCCCAACCCCGAAATCAGACAAAGAGGGGGCTGCTGCGGATGATGGGCTCAGCAGAAAAGAAAATCAGAACAAAAAAAAAAGTGGTGATACACAGTACACAGAAAAAGCACCCGTCTCCCGCGCCGTCCTGCATACCAATCCTAACGCACATAACACGCCTACTGCAGGTCTTTGGAGGATTTTCAGTCAGCAACATCAGGAACGGGCGGTTCCTCTGCCGCAGCGTTTCCCCATCAAGCGCACACTAGTTCCCACCCTGCACCTCATAGTAGAGAACTCTGATCGGATGAGTGAGGTAAGAATAAAATGCAATTGAACACAATAATGACATATAGTGATGAGTGAAATGGTTCTTTTCGTCATGTTAGTTGCTCTCGGCTGGACTCGCCTCTCTACTACTACAACCGGGCTATGATGTTTTCTACAGAGTACATAGACGACACGTCTGTATCTGTCTACCCGCGCTTAGAGGCAGCCGATACGTGAAGCAATAGCATTGATAATGGGCGCCGGGATGACGTTCGCCTGTAGTAATGCCCTTTGCATTTGGAACCAGGCCACGCCCCCTCGGTTGGCTGGGCTGGCTCGGCTGGGCTCTTCGTACCTGCGCCTGTACGCAGGTTTAGGTCGTATCCGTGGCTCCGAGAAGCGTTTCGTGTGGTTTCTTGGTTCCGACTTTCAAGGAAGG